TACGTTTCTATTCAAATCTGTATAGAATCCGCACTGATCAGCACGGGGGGGGGGGAGAATGCTTAGGGAGCTTTTCGGGCAGCAGGCGGTTCAGATTGCGCGATCGCATGAACAGTCCCCATAGGAATGTATGGGATCATTCAGGACGGTGGTTCAGCGTGGACAAATCCCAGCGACCAAACCGCACTGGTGTGATTGGGCCTTTACATCAGCCCTCAAGGACCTTACAATCGAAGGTCCCTATCTCGCATGCATACAGGGCCAATTTAGACAGGAACCAAGTAACCTACTAGCATGTCTTTGGATTGTGGGAGGAAACCCACGCAAGCACAGGGAAACACCAAGGAACATGGAAACTCCATACAAACTCCTTGCAGATAGTAACCTGGCCGGGATTTGAACCAGGGACCCCCAGTGCTACAAGGCAGAAGCATTAACCACTACACTATTGTGCTGCACAGTTACTACTATTCCTTCTTTCTGTGCAGGGTGACTGGTCCATTCTCCGCCCCCTCCTTTACTTCTCTGCAGACAGCCTATAGTGGGTGGAGCCTGCTGGGCCCCTCCCACAACTCTGTGCACAGGCTTTGTGCAACACATTGCTAGAAATACAATATCTGGATTTGCAAATGCACAGAAAGTGAGAATTTATATAATTAGTGGCAATTAAGAAACATGTTTAAATGAAATATGTTGTGCCTGGAGTTCAGCTGAAATCACCTCCTGGGGGCTATTGTGTTACAATCTCTGCACTGAGTCAGTCCCACTTCTTCAGCCATTTTAAAAGGTGGCCCCAAACTGCCTACAGAGTTCTGTTTATTACTTCTGGTCATCCAAACACTAAATGAAATGCTCCCTAGTGTATGGAACTAGAAGTCCTAGTGTGCCTGTCGAGACGCCGTCCTCAAACTGCACATTGCCTAAAAGGTGAATCTAACATTAAGGCCCCATTCCCACTAAGCGATTTATCGTGCATTTTTGCAGCGAGATATCACGAGAAGTCGCCAGCCAATGCTATTCAATGGAGCTGTCTTCGCTCCATGTCGCAGGACCCTTTTTTCGGCAGATTTCGCGCGATTTTTCTATTTTTTAATGGAGCCCAACGGTGAAGGTTGCACTACCGTCACCCCCCAAAGGTCGTGCTATCCCGGCCGCGCGGACCCGCTGCAAAAGGTATGGCGCTTATCGCGAACAGGGCCAACTGATCGGAAGCCGATTAATCGATTATTGAAAAAGTTGACAACTTTTTCAATAATCGATTATAATCGATTATGTCGATTAGTTGTTGCAGCCCTAGTGTGAATGGAGCCTAAGACGTACAAGTATTACTTTCAGCAATAAAAACAAAAGTCAAACCAATTACAACATTCAGCAGTTTGTTAAAAGCAGCACGACAAGTGATGGTAATCTGCCAAACACGTACAACTCAATAATAGAAAACACCACACACACAAAAAGAAGATAAATCGCTTATTATGTTAGTGAACACAACGACAGCTTGCAATGTCCTTCCAATCCATCCAGACTGATGTGAGGAGAAGAGAACACAGAACCTAAAGACATTGCAATATCTAATAAAACCACACAGCGCTTACCACGCCGAAGAATGACTATAGCAATCTAGCCGCCAAATGTTCACGAGAAAGAATGTAAACAGGATTAAATATGACATTTTATACTTGGGAGCCAGAGAGCATCGAAAGCGACAAAGGCAGAAACATAAGCAGATAAGGGAGAGAAGCCAAAAAGGGATGAAAGACATATGAAGAGATAGATATACACACACACACACACACACACACAAACACACACACGAGATATCACCGACACACCAAGTACACGTCATGGTATTGCACCACAAGAAATGAAACACATGCCCTTGACTGTCATAATACAAAGACATCAAGGTGCAAGCATTGGCATGCATATGATTGCCGAAGAACCTACTGAAAACCCAAAACACAACACTGTAATATATCCCAGCACACCGATCCTGAAATGTGGTGGCTGCATTCATGTCTTTATTTTCATCTGGGCAGCAAACCTTAAGCTGGCCATACACCTTACATCTGCAGAGTTTCTATGGTCAGATGGAAAATGTGCAACGGATTCCTCCATCTACGCTAAACTGTGTGGATGGAGGAACCTCCCCGTAGGCCAAGCTTCAGTATCTTGCTAGTCGGCCCGCTGGCTGCCAAAATACCTGAACACTCTGATTGGATGCAGACATTGTTCAGGTGTTTTGAGAGCCAGCGGGGCCCACTAGCAAGATACTGAAGCTTGGCCTACGGGGAGGTTCCTCCATCCACACAGTTTAGCGTAGATGGAGGAATCCGTTGCACATTTTCCATCTGACCATAGAAAGTCTGCAGATAATTGTAAGGTGTATGGCCAGCTTACTTTTCAGCTTCCTTTACCAGACAAAGCTGTCCAGCAAAAAATGCCAGGTAAGAGGGCTGAGACAAACCATTTAAATCCGACAGGGGTGCTTACAGTGGTCAGCTGGTATTCACGTAAAAATATTTATCCCAAAAGAAAAGAAACCTGTTACTGTAACTGCTTATAATGCGTTAGCTGGAGTTCAGATTTAAATGTCTTAGTCAAGTCCATCTACACCTGCTAGTCCATCTAACACCACCCTCCTCACAGGGTGACAATGCTACGGTCCCAGGGTGGCTCCGTTACTCTTCTATAGCGTGGAGCCACACTAAAGCCGGGTATACATGCTTCTATTTTTTAGAACAGATTCCTCCATCAATGCTTACGAGTGTTGATCGAGGAATCCCATGCTGCTTCTATTGTACTCTGACAGTGGCCATCAGCTGCTGTCAGTATACACGAACGGAGCCTTCAGCGGACTGGTTGCCCAATATGGTTTCCGTTATAGAGCTTGAGTGAACATAAACCCAAAGCAGTTCAAAGAGTATTGAGGGTGTTGAAGATTCAGTAACCCAGAAGAGACATTTTTGTTTCCCGAGTTAAGATCGGTGATACTGGTCATACACAAGGCAATTTCCCAGCATTTCATCCAGGATTTAACCGATCACCAACTGGTTTTATTTCCACGATAAAGATGTTGGCACATTATTTCAATCCATTTCAGTGTTTCCATAATCAGAATAAGCAGAAAACTGGCATTAAGGATGGATTCCGGTCCTGTACCCTGCACACTAATCTTCCTATACGCTTGAGTTAGGAGCACAACACAAGAAGATATCACACCAAAATGGCACAAGATACCAATATGCATCGATTATATTAGACTATATCATATGTAAAACATGAAGACATTTTAAGACTTAAAGTAGATATAAGTCCTAGACAGACAGTTTGCAACGGTACCACGGGGGGAAGGGCGGGAGGAGGATTCATAAAAACTGGGAGGACATGAAATCTGGAGCAGTTGCCCATAGCAACCAATCAGCTTATATCTTGATTAGGTTCAGTTAAGCTTGGAAAGTAAAACAGAGAAGCTGATTGGTTCTACTCCAGGTTATGTCTGCTCCAATGTTTTATGTACCCCCTATGTATCATAAACAACTGACATTTTATCCATAAAATACTGTTTTCACTTTTTTTTTTTTGTCTTCCGGTCCATGTTTACAGATCAGTAGTTCTGATCTCCTAATCAGATTTCAGGGTAACGCCTATTCTGTTCATCACTAAAGAAGGTGGTTGTTGGGCATGTCTATTCTGCCCATACCCCTCCTGAAGGCTGGTGGCTGGGTATGTCTATTCTGTCCATACCCCTGAAGAAAGTGGTGGTTGGATAGGTCTATTCTGTCCACATCCCTATATAACAGGAGTGGAAAACTCTACCAGCTGTGCTTTACCTAAAAATCCCAACATGCCTCTGCCTCTGGGAGCTATGCCTGCAACTGTCAGTCTTGCAATGCCTCATGGGACTTGTAGCTCCACAACAGCTGTAGGGCCAGAGTTGCCCATCCCTTTTATAGAAGCTGTTCATTGGGTATGTCTATTTTGCCTACACCCCTGAAGAAAGTGGTTGTTGGGTATGTCTATTCTGCCCATAACCTTAAAGGTTGTGGTGGTGGTTGAGTTGATCTATCCTTTTCATACCCCTAAAGAAAAAGTTAGTTGGGTACGTCTATTCTGTCCATACCCGTGAAGAAGGCGGGGTGGTTGGGTACGTCTATTCTGTCCATACCCCTGAAGAAGGCAGGGGTGGTTGGGTATGTCCACAGTGTCCATACCCCTGAAGAAGGCCGGAGTGGTTGGGTACATCTATTCTGTCCATACCCCTGAAGAGAAGAAGAAGGCGGGAGTGGTTGGGTACGTCTATTCTGTCCATACCCCTGAAGAAGGCGGGAGTGGTTGGGTACGTCTATTCTGTCCATACCCCTGAAGAAGGCGGGGGTGGTTGGGTATGTCTATTCTGTCCATACCCCTGAAGAAGGCGGGGGTGGTTGGTTATGTGTATTCTGTCCACGGTGTCCATATCCCTGAAGAAGATGGTAACTGAACGGAGACCAGGGTAAAAATAACTCTATTAGTAAATCAGCCGCCTTGCTTTGGGAGAGCAGCTCAGAATTAATGATTGTGTCGTATTCCACAATACTCCTACAAGGAAAGCCCACTATGGGGCACTAGCACCAGACAAAACCAAAATACAATGACAACATAAAAGATCTCCAGACAAAAGGCTGAGGTGTTGAAACCTGGAGCTCCAGGAAGAAGATGCAGCAGCAGCCCCGGGCAGACACATCCATACAACAATATACATCACAGCGGCAGAGAAGACATCAGCAGGCTTGTCTGCAGAGATTCCACACCTCGGCAATACAAGACATCAGATCCATAACACGCAGCACGTCCCTGCAGCACACAGCTCATTGTCTGATCGCTGACTGGCATGACAGGTGACCAACAGCCATGATATGATGCCCCCCCTATAGAGCCCCCTGCAATGCACAATGCCTGGGGCTCGCCTCCATTGTCCCCCCACCCTTAGCACAGAGCGCCCCCTTTCCCTCCATTACCTGGCCGGGATACACAAACACAGCAGCCGATCGCCTCCGTCTCCTCCTCCTCCTCCTCTCTACCCAGCGCACGCACATCCAGCTCCGGACATTTGCCTTGACAACGGAAGTCCCGCCCCTTTCCTGGTCTGTCACGAACTCCTTCTCGCCGATTGGGCAGAAGGCCTCAACAGCCATTGGAGCAGAAGGACGTCGATCGGGAGCTCCAGGTGGTAGGGCCACGCCCACTGCCTGCTGTCAAACTGGCAGCTCTGTGCTATTTTTAGCCTTATTGTCATGATGGTTTGTTTAATAACACATGCATGGGATCTGTGCATCTCTAATGACTGCAAGTCAGGGACACTATTGGAGGGGAGGGAGGGAGAGGGGTCGGGGATACAGCTTCTATCCCAAGGGACTGGAATGTAGACTCACATGAGAGCAAGTCTGGTCAAGACAGCTTCCCCTCTGACATCACATTCTCCACATGTCTGGAAACTGTGATTACCTGTCAGAGAATTGTTCCTACTGTTTTATATTCAATTGCTGCACTGCGTAGCCTGCGTTATAATGCATTGATGAGCGTTGCTTTTCATTTTCAGGGCCCGTTCTCAGCAGGGGCTGTGAGTCATAGTGCACATCATAATGTGCGCATGCTGGTTTGCGTTATGCACCCACACTGAGATGCATTGTTACAGTGTTTACTTTTTATAACTTTTAAAGTTTACAAAAATCAAATGGCTCAACTGAGGTGTCCCCCGGTCCGGGGACGCCAACCTGTCCCCAGGCCGGGTGTCACCCACGGGGACATCATCATACATGCTGGTAATGAGGTCACGCTCACGCCCGCAGACATCTTGGTGATGGAAGCCAGTGTTATAACAGAATCCTGGACTTCGTTAGTTACGTGGACTGTGGCTCACACAAGCGCAGAAGAGGTGGTCAGGTCCATAAATTTCACAGGCTATTTGCCTGCTTTGCGCATGTGCGGGGAAGCGGGTCCAGAGAATTGACAGTCATGGCGCCTGTATTTGATGTATACTTTGATTATGTGTTAAGTGATATGTTTGCAGGCGCCTTGGCTGTGAATTGTGTAAAGCTGGAGGCGCTGGTGTGTTCCTTTGGAAGTGATGTACAGTATGTGATGGAGGAAAAAACTTAAATTACCGGACCTCGTGTCAATCTACGGGAAATCGGACTGACCTGTGCTCTTTACTTCTTCAGATTACCCCCGATCCGTCACAATCGGGTCCAGTGAAAGGGAACAGTGTTCCGTTTCTTTTTTCTGACCTGGCCGGAGTTGGGGGCAACCGTATGTAAACAGACACCCATTCGTTTAGATCCGGCTGCCCATAGACTTACATTGGTCATCCATTCGGGTCTGCCTGTAAAACTGATAGGTGGTCCTGATCGGACTGCCGGTGTAAAATTGGCCTAATTTTTTATTTTTTTGTTTGATTGTATTTGAGATGTTATTTCTTCTTTATCTCATAAGTGACACTTTTTCTGTATACTTTGTGTTTTTTTATTTTGTTGTTTTTTTACTGTAACAAAACAGAAAATGTAAGGAACTGGATGGAAAAAGAAGACAAGCATCGCATTGCAGTCAGATATTAATTTGATGCGTTCTTGAATATCGCTTTGTAATGGTTGTCAAACACTAGACAGGTCTCTATATGCTGTGCAGTATTCTACAGAGTGATGCCAACCTGCCCAAACATTGCTCCTGACACTCATAATGGTGAAGTGTTGAGGGATAATATCTTTACTAAAATGTTTCTAGATGAGTATTCTTTATACCCCTGCAGGGAGTCTGATGTTCAGATTTTGTCCATTTACATTTGCCTAAAATTGATCTTCCATTCAGATCTACCTAAAAAAACTTGCAAGTGGATCTGATCAGAACAGCTGTTCAAAATGGGCCTTAGAGTAGCCATATACACATAGGGGCTTTTGATAAATCCTCCACCCAGAGTATATCTTGCATGGCACTACCGCCACTAGATGGCATTGGTGAGCAAAGGAATTCCTATTAGACATAAAAGCTGTGAAAAACTTCAGTTCGGTTTGGATATTTCGGGTTTCGGATCGGAAATTCAGTTTGGTTTGGGTTTCGGATTTGGACGAAATTCAAATTTTCGTTAGTTTCTGATGATTATCGATGCGATTCAGAAATTCGGATCCCGAATGCTAATCGGGTCTAGGAGCCTCAGCTTTAGTATTATATGTGTATACTGTTTATAGCTCCCATGTTGCCATAACGAACATGTGTGTACAAACCCATTCGGATGCATTAAACCGAAAAACACATCTGACTGGCTAGAAAAGTCACATGTCCGATTCAGTTTAGCTTTTAAACGAAATTGGGACGGGAGCCAAAATTCGGAAACGGGAATGTCGACAAATTCGGATGCATTGGGATTCGGCAATTCGGATGTGTCTGAATGTCCGATTTTCTGAAAATTCATACAAATTTTGATTCAGAACGAACGAATCGCACGTGTCTAATTGCTATGCTTTGAGCCGGCGTTGATCAACATACATGGTGTGAACAAGCCCTAAATGAGCTCTCAGCACACCTCAGCGCATTATAAAGATACACATGGACAATTTTTCACAGCCCGACACATCATAACGTACATCTGTGCATTGCGTTGCAGTATAGCTATGTGCAGGGGGTCATTCAGAATGAAGGCACACATACATATACCAATATATTCCTCCCACATGAATCCCTATGCTAACCAGCTCCATCCAGTGGCGGTAGTCGTGTGCGAACGGCATTTTCCCAGCTGTATGCTGAGCGGAAGGTTTATAAATCAGCCCCTTAGATTTCTCTTGTTCAGCCCTGCAGGCTGAGAAAAATCAATTGAATCACTCCTGCCAGCTATTGTATTCAAACAGCTGGCACCCACAACTGTCTGAATACCCCCAACTGTGACTGCATTTGATTGGATGTAGTTACTGTTCTGCCAATTTTCCACCCGCCTTTGATTTTTCAATAAAAGTTTGTTGAGCCGGGTGGTGCTTACAGGGCCACCCACAGCTTGAATTTTGTCCAATTCAGCAGGAGTTGGCTGAAATTGCATTCTTTCTTGCATGGCCAGTTTTACTCTAGGGTCAAGCAGTACTGATACACAGAGGTATAGAACATGATAAGGCAAGTCTGCATTTAAGATAACAACCCGTGAAAGGCAAATAAAACAAAAAAGGGTAATAAAAGTAACAAAGTGAGCATGTTTTTCAATAGCTGATTAGAAGGCTGAGATCCACACTTAGTCCGTTATCTCCTATGTCAGATAGAATTATCATTAGTTCACTCATTGTCCTTATCTGAGTAGAATTGTCACCTCCCGATCTACTGAGCCGACCTGTGACAGTCTCATTGTCACAGGTCGGCCAGAACTATGAGGTGAGTGAAAATCAATCACCTCATAGTTCTCCTTTAAAGGGCATCTATACCCAAAAACAAAAATTGACCATATTGCAGCTTACCGTTCCTTAAAGGGTTTCTAACGTTTTTGTTTTTTTTTGCATATATCTACTGCTAGCAAGCAGTAGATAAATGCAAAAAGTTTGAAAAAAAAAAACGCTTTAAAAGCGGTTTAAACTTACCTGTGTCTTCACCACACGCTCCCATCCGCGAAGCCAAAACATTTTGGGCGGCCGCAAGGCATCTTGGGGCGGTAGCATGCGCAGTTCGGATTTTCGGCTGGGAGACGAGGAGAGACACGAGGTAAATATATGGACGGCGTGCACCCGCATGCAGACACCGTGGGACAAAAAGTGCCAGCAAGGACAGAGGAGTCAGCGCTGCATCGGAGACCCGCAGCAGCGCTGATAGCATCAGGAAAGAAGAAGATCGGATTAAAAGACATCATTTAAGGTAAGTACTTTAATTAACATTGGGGCGGAGGGGAAAATATTTTTGCCTTTAATGTCAATTTAAATGTGGTGTCTGCATTCATTTTCTTTTTTAAGCCATTTTTTTGCTTTCTTGACACCTGGTGATCCTACCACTGACACTTCCTAGGGTGACAACGCTCACTGTACTCTATCATGACAACAAAAACAGGACAGAATTACTGCTCTGACAGTTTCATACTAAGGTTAAATGAAGCCATGGTTCCCTCTCTCTGACACGATCACCCGGCTGTCACCGGGCGGCCGCTTGCTCCTCTGAGGCCACTGCAAGCGGGCCTCTACAGTGCCCGATTGGAGGGCGCGTCTGCCTGATCCAGCCAGCCAGCCCGGATCGCATAGCGGCGATCTGGGCTGGCTGGATCAGGCAGACGCGCCCCCCAATCAGGCACTGTAGAGGGTCGCCCGCTGGGGCCTCGGAGGAGTGAGCGGCCGCCCACACAGAGCCGCGTCTGATGCGGGCGGGCTGGCCAGCCATGTGCATGAGGGAAGGAGCCACTGCACCTGCGGCCACGGCAGACCCCCCCACAACCAGGGTCCACGGCAGACCCCCCCACAACCAGGGTCCAGGAAGCCCCCACTGACCACCAGGCTAAGGTAAGGTGACACATTTTTTAAAAATAAAATCCGGGGACATTTTTAAATGTCCCCGGGAACATAAAATAAAACTTTTTTTTTTTAATACTACTCACCTGATTCCTGGATCCAACAAGCGCGGCCTCCCGTCTCCCACGCTGTTAGAAGTTGCATACAGCGTGTGCTGGTTACTACTTAAACCGGCGCGCGCAGTGTGCAGCTTCTGAGAAGATACGCTATTAGCGTAGCGGGAGTGATGCAAAATGCGCAGCCGCCTTCCCCGCTATGCTAATAGCGTATCTTCTCAGAAGCTGCACACTGCGCGCGCCGGTTTAAGTAGTAACCAGCACACGCTGTATGCAACTTCTAACAGCGTGGGAGACGGGAGGCTGCGCTTGTTGGTGGATCCAGGGATCAGGTGAGTATTAAAAAAAAAAAAAAGTTTTATTTTATGTTCTATTCTTAGTTCTATAATGGCATTGTAGTACTTTCAGGTGGAATACAGCTTCATAACATATCAGCTAGGGAACTACAAGTCCCAGCATGCCCTCATTGCCCCTGTACAACAACCAGATATTGCCGTTCCCTGGGTGATATGTGTGTGTGTGGGGGGGTGTACAGGGACAATGATGACATGCTTGGACTTGTAGTTCCTTAGCTGATATATATGT